CATTTTCCCTCTTTTATCAAAAGTTTTTAAATTTTTTCGACTTTAAAGACAGAACAAATTAATTTAAGGGTTAGACAAACGAACTCAATGCTTGGACAAACAAACAAAGTTGATAAAAGATAAAAAAAATCAATTAGTTTAAAAATTATCCACTAATGAATTGTCATTTTCCATCTTTTATCAAAAGATTTTAAATTTTTTCGAATTTAAAGGCTGAACAAATTAATTCAAGGGTGAGACAATCGATGTTAATGCTTAGAAAAACAAACAGAGTTGATAAAAAATAAAAAAATCAATTTGTTTAAAAATTAGCCACTAATGAATGGTCATTTTTCAGCTTTTAACTCAACTTTTCAAAATTCTCTCGAGTTTAAAGGGTGGACAAATTGTTTTAATTGTTGGACAAACGAAGTCAATGCTTGGACAAACTAACAAAGTTGATAAAGAATAAAAAAAATTATTTGTTTAAGAAATAGCCACTAGTAAATTATCATTTTCAATCTTTTAACACAAGTTTTCAAATTTTCTCCAGTTTAAAGGATGGACGAATTAATTTAAGGAGGGAAACTCGTGTAAATGCACGTTTTTTCAGGAATTTAAAAAAAAAACCTGGTAAAGTTTATTGAATTAAAGTAAAGCATATCTTAAAGTATACAATATAAGCTTTCTAAAAAAAAATTTTTATTAAAAAATATTACAAAATGGTGGCGTTACAGGCGTTTGAAGTTGCATTAAAATCGGTTAAATATTGGCTGAGTTACATTGCACGGCGCGCGAAAAAACACGTTTCGAGAAAAACGCGTATTAAGTTTTCGATACATAAAAGTAGTGTTTCAACTATTGCCTTGAAGACGTTATGTATTCGAAAATAACTATTGCACTAAAACAATGATTTACTATCACTTGCTTATGGTGCAAGGGAGAATTTACTCTAGTAGTCAAGTGTACACTTGCCTGGTAATACTTGGTAATACCTTTAATATCTGTAATATTTTGTAATGTCTTGTAATAATAAGTATTATTGTGTAATATCATGTAATTCTGTGTAATACTTGTAATATTGTGGTATTATGGTGTAATACCTTAAAAAATTTAAAGAAAATCAAAACAAAAAATGTTAATAGAATTAAAAATTTTAAACACTAATTCAAATGTAGCGCGGGAGTTGATGCTGAAGTATAACAACTTTGCCATAGGTGGCGGTATCGAATATTTACAGAATCAAATCAGAAGATGGTTCTTTAGTAATTGGCCGAATTTTAGCTTTTAGCAACATACCAAATATTAAACGTTATAAACATGGATGCTCACGGATAATATAATATAGAAAATTATATTTGTTCAGTTCCTCGTCCAAAAATAAAAACAAATAAGTTATATTTATCGTGTTCTTTAAAAGAAATTTCAAAACATTTGAAATAATAGTTGTTTACGTTTTAAAAAAGAGAAATTTATTATTTTCTTTTATAAGTAGGGTAAATGCACTAATTGCGGCGCGATTCGAGTCAAAACACCTTTGAAATAGAAAATTCGACATTTCTATTGTATAAACTCAATTTAAGACTTATTAAACTCATAGGTTATGTTATTTAGATGTTAAAAAAATGTTTAACTTTATAAAAATCGATTATTTAAACAAATATAAGAAATTAAAAATAATACCGTAATTTTCTATTGCGGCGCGTTTATATATCGATTTCGGAGACCAAAATTACGTGTATTTTGAAAATACTTTACCCGCCGAAATCAGAGCCAATGGAAACATTAAACAAGGAGGGGGTCTTTTATGTTTATTTCATAAACATTTTGCTTCCTCATTGTTTGAAGCAAAAAATTTGCTTCCTCGTGGAGGAAGCTATATAAATTTCTCCGATCCAATTGATTGTTTTAAAAAATTTCGAGTTGAAAACTTTTTCAAATTAATTAAATTTTTTGAAAAATTAAGAAAATTTTAATTCATTTTGGGTGTAACATATACTTTATATATACGAATCGATTCGTTTCAATGCAAGGAATACAATTATTTTATGTATTAACTTGAATTTAAAAAAACACAAAATTTTTTAGTTAAAATATAAATTTTTGATTTTTATTAATTCTTAAGATTTAAATCAAATCTATACTTTATATATATCAACCAATTCGTTTCAATACAGAGAATAAAATTATTTTATATACATATAAACATGAATTTAAGAAAACATAACATTTTTTAGCTAAAATGTGAATTTTTGATTTTTTAACTTACATTAATTCTATTAATTTCAATCAAATCTACAATTTATATATACTAATCGATTCGCCTTGACGTAAGGAAGACGATTATATTATATATTACTTTAAATTTTTCTAATTAAAATTTTTTTTAAATTAAAAAAAATTTTTTGGAAAAGACAATTTTTGAGGGTATTTTTAAAAATCCTCTCGTCATTTTTGAGAGATAAATGTGATAAATAAGCCAACTAAATTTTGCTTGAAATCTCTGCACTTTTCGGATGAATTTCTTGCAAATGGGACTGGACCCTTCGACAGACACGTGAACGGAAGTCACGCATGCGCACTATCATTTCTATCTCTGTTGCAAGAAATCCATCCGAAAAGCGCATGGATTTCAAGCAAATTTCGCATTGAGTGGAGGAGAGTATTTACGACATGGACTTGAAGCAAATATAGTACATGTTCCAACCTTTCCTTGCATAGAAATCTACGACCCTATAAACTCATGAATTTTGTCTAAAAGAAGCGCGTCACAGGTGATGTGAATAATGAGTGACACAACCCATGTAAATATGGTATGATTTTTCTCTCCGTGTAAAAATTTTATAAACGAAAGGACTACAAAGCTTCCTCCACGAGGAAGCAAAATGTTTCAATTACGGCAAGGGAAAAAATTTGATCATAAATAATTTAATTAATAATTGTTTAAATATGCATCTTCATTAGTAATTGTATCAAAAAAAGATTAAAATAATTTTTTTTAATCATTTTGCAACAATTATATTAAATATAATAGTAATAATAGTCATTTTTTATGAACGCGCCGTAATTGATGCACTTACCCTAATATTTAAAAATATTTAATTATTTATTTCTCTATTTCTTATTTTAAAGTTTTGCTCTTAAATAATAATTTTATTGAAAGTTCCCCTGCCGGAAGGGTGGTACTGGATTGGTACTGGAAAATTGGAACTGAGGGCTAAGTACCAACTCAGTACTAATTTGGTGCATTTTGGTACTGAAATGGAACTGGGAAATTTACCTGCGAAAAGGATCGAGTTACCGTTAATACCCTCATAAAAGTGAAAAGCGACTAGCTTTTTCAATATGTTTAAACTAACGCTTTATATTTATTTCAATATTATATTTGTTTTTCCTGGATTTATATTATTTTCATACATTATTATGCATATGATATGTCCTTTGGCAGCTAAATTCAAAAATGATGTCTATTTTTTTGTCAAACTTAAGGTATACGAGATAAATTATAACTTTTTTAAATGTAATTATTTTTTGATAAATTTTAGATATTCATAATCTGGAAATATTAACGAATCTCAATATATATTTTTTAAAGTTGAGTTATTAAAATTATAAATTTTTTAAGCAATAAAACTCGGGTTAAAATTTTAATCCTTCAACAAAGGACCTAGGGGTCTATTGTTCAAGGAGGGATTGCAATATAATTTCCAAACTTAACAGAAATTTTCTACAAACTATTATGGTTTTTTTTTTGCTGTTTTACACGTATATCGTGAGAGACGGTTTGTTGATCTTATATACCTTTAAAACTATTGTTAAAGTACTCTAAAAATGTCTTCTTATGGGTTATCAGGTAGTGGTACTGAAGTGGAACTCCAGCCAAGTCCAATTCAGTACCATTCCAGTACCACTCTTTCGGTAGGGTCTACGTAGGAGAAAGTGCTATTTGAAGTGTAATATTTTTTGTAATAAAGGGTAATACTCAGTAATACATGTGTAATACTTTGTAATACAGTAATATTTTGGTAGTAGTATGTAATACTTGTAAAAAGTGTAATACTAAAGTAATAATAGTAATATGTGTAGTTGTAGTCAAGTGTACACAATTTTTACTAGTAAATTCCCCCTCGTTATGGTGCTTTGTAAAGACAATTAATAAAATTATATCGACAAGAAACTGAAAGAATAGAGGCATCTCGTGCTCATAGTTAACTGCATTTGGTTGCATCTGAAGTGCTCAACTTATGATTGCTATAGACATTCATACATCTAATTATAAATAACACAGCCCCACAAAAAAAAGTGTCGTGCGCGGCAGATCAGACTAGTCATTTCCTATGTATTTTGACGCGCTGAACACGAATCCGAAGTCCGTTTTGCTCCATCACGTCAGGATTTTTTTCGAACCTCCAAAAACCTGTCGGATTTTGAGAGGTAGGTTATTTTTTTTAAAAATTGATGGATTTACTTCAAACTTGGTATATAGGGGTTTTTTGGGTCGCTGATGACGAATTTGAAGTTAGATTTTCAAAATTCAAAATGGCGGCTCCAATATGGCGGACGAATTTTGTAAAAATTGATGGATTTACTTCAAACTTGGTATCTAGGGGTTGTTTGGGTCGCTGATGACGAATTTGAAGTTAGATTGTCAAAATTCAAAATGGCGGTCATATTGGCCATATTGGAGCCGCCATTTTAAATTTTGAAAATCAAACTTTAGATTCGTAATCAGCGACCCAAAAAATCCCTAGATACCATGTTTGAAGTAAATCCATCAATATTTACAAAATTCGTCCGCCATATTGGAGCCGCCATTTTGAATTTTGAAAATCTAACTTCAAATTCGTCATCAGCGACCCAAAAAACCCCTAGATACCAAGTTTGAAGTAAATCCATCAATTTTTAAAAAAAATAGCCTACCTCTCAAAATCCGTCAGGTTTTTGGAGGTTAGAAAAAAATCCTGACGTGATGGAGCAAAACGGACTTCGGATTCGTGTTCAGCGCGTCAAAATACATAGGAAATGACTAGTCTGGTCTGCCGCGCACGACACTTTTTTTTGTGGGGCTGTGTTATTCCGCCAAACAAAATACTAGCGATTAGAAAATTAAATGACTTGAGACAAAAAGTCAGGTGAGTAATACACGAATTTCAAATAACATTAACACATTTTTTCACAACCCAGCAACGAGTAGATTATACAATGTGAAAATTAAATTTCAATGAAATCTGAACTCAATTCAGAAGCAACGTAAATTTAAGTAATATTTTAAAAATACCGTATAATACTGGTTATTTATATTTTTTAGAGGTAAAGTAGACTCAAATTTTAAATAATTTATTGATAAGCATTTTTACAGAACTTTGAGTAGAGAATTAAACGATTCGAAGATGAAAGTCAGGCAAGTAACACTTAAATTTAAAAGAGTATATATAAAATAGAAAAGATCAGCAGTTCTTAAAATTATCTGAAATTTTCGTCTTCTACATCTGATGACGAATCATCTCCTACATCTTCCACATGGGCTTCAGAACCGCTTAATTCGTGATCTGATTCCAAGAGAGCAGCTATATTTGCAATCGCATCATCCATTTGTTTTTCAAGGTTCTCTTTTCCCTTTTCGCCCGTACTCTTTTTTAACTTTTTGCGGCACCTTTGCTTGGTAACTTTAAATACTGTTAACATTGTTTGCTTATACTCTGTCTTATTATCAGGTCCGGCAAAAAAAGTACAGTTAATAGCAGCTTCTACAACAAATAAATTTAATTGTTATCTATGATATAAACGAAAAAAAGGTAATGTTCCATTTCGGAGATCTTGTTTCTTAAGTAAAAAAATTATTCGCATTAATCTCGATCAGAGTAAAAATAATTTTATTAAAGTCCATTAATTCATTAGTACCAAATTGGAACTCTTTTGGTCAGAAAATGTGAAGTTAAAGAAAAACCATTTTTTGTTCGAAAATCTACATTCTTTGAAAAAATGTATTGAAATGAATTTTAATTAAATTCACTGTTTTTTGTGTAACCTTGCTATATAAATACAATTTCCAATTTAAGTTTTCAAACATTTGGCCAAAAAAACTAAGTTTGAAGAAGGGTAGACAGAATTGTATCCACCAAAACATACATTTTTCAATAAGAAATTAAGGTTGCGGGTTAACCGGCGAAACGAAAAAAACGAATTAGCATCAAAACGACACAAAACTGAACATGAAAATGTTGGATTGTACAAAATAAAAAGTTGTTATTTTTCCATTCTTTATTTTTTTGAAGTCAGTCTTAAAACGACACAAAAGAATGTTAGATTATACAAAATTAAACTATTATTTTTTAATTTAATATTTTTAAAGTTGTTATTTTATAAAAAATAAATTTTATTCAAATTTTATGTAATCATAAAATTTTAATAAAATTGTTACATCTGGTCATTTTTCAATCTTATTTTTTTTCTATATTTAATTTTTTTTCTCTCCCACGTTTCTTATCTTCTTAAAGAAAAACAACATCTGTTTATTTAAAAAATCATGTTCTTTCTTGTACTCATCGACTCATAATGTATCTGTTTTTTCTCTTGTTTATTTTTTAAGCAGATTATGAAACGTGAAACCTTAGTAGTCAACATTTACCAGAATGCACTTTTTCCAAAAATCTAAGAAACTGAAACATCCGTAAGCAATAAAATTATAAAATACAACCATAAAAATCTTTTCGAACTCTACAAGTGCATCCTCCAGATGTCGACCGCTGGGGTCCTTCTCCTTTCATTTTCCGTTTTCTCACGACAGGTTCTGTAGTGCCTATCGCTAAAGAACCTTCTGGTTGCAATAAAATTCGTTTTGGTTCCCAATTTATGTATGTACAAGTGCACCACAAATGCACATGTTCGATATATATATATATATATATATATATATATATAGTATGAATGAATGAATGAAATATTTTAGACATAATATATATTTTTGGAAATCTGTGTCCTTAAAGGAACACCCACAAGTTTCGACCCCCCTAAGGGTTGGGTCAGTGGGGCCCAATAGAAAGAAAATGTAAATTAGTTTTCTCCATTTTTTCTTACGAATTTTTACCATTTTCTTTGAGAAAAACCAATAATAAGTTTTCTCAACTACCTTTCTTCTCCGCCTACAAGAAATTTCCCTTTCTACAAAAAAATCTCTCCCTTCTTCAAAATCTACCTCAAAAACTCAAAATTTGTAGTGGGGACAAACCTTTAAAAACGTATGTTTCCCTAAAATTTTCTGTCATTCAAAGATTTACATTTCTACATTTAAATTCATAAAGAGTCATAAAAGTTATTCAATTTTTACATTTCTACATAAAGCTCATAAAGAGTCACCCAAACAGTTATTCAATTTTTACATTTCTACATTCAAAAGTTATTTTCAACGTAAAAATTCGTATTCAAATCAAAATTCTAAAAGTTATTCAAATTTTATTCTTAAAAGTTCAGTGAGTTTTCTACGTTTATTACCGAATTATAAAATATCAAGGAAGGACGAATAATCCAATATTTTGCATCTTCAGGGAAAATTATCTTTGATAAATAAAAAGTAAGTTTTAAAATTATATTTTCTATCTTTACCTTATTTCTTTTTGAAAAACTTCTTTCACTATCTAAAATTTTTCACAATTTCCAAATTCCAAAGAATACTGCCGTATTAAAGCTGGCGGTTATTCTTTAAAATTGTATTATTTTTGACCTATGTGTTTCCTTATTATATTCAACCTTTGATTCCTAAATTTGTTAATGTCACTTTATATAGTTGTGACTAACAAATTTTACTCCTTATTTTATGTATTCCTTTTATTTTTCAATTTCTATAAGAAAATTCAATAGAGATTAAATAACCAAAATTAATTCCCAAACTATTGGGTGAGAATCCAGGCTTAAAATTGTAATTAAATTTTTATAACTATAATTTTAATTTAAAAAAAAAATTAAATTATTATTATTTGTTAAAAAAATTTATAAAATATTATTTATGTTGCATTACGTAACAAAATTATTCTTGTAAAAATAAAAAAAAATGTAGAATCAAAAAATAACATTTTTATCCCACAGGCACGAAAATGGCGCTTTTTTATGCGTCTAGAGAGGGCGTAAAGGAACTCATTTTTGTCAGCCGGTAAAAGTGAATTCTTGTTCGCCCTAGGGAGAAATAATAGGGTAAAAATGAAAAAACTGGTCAAAAATGATACTACAGAAATTCTTTTTGACCTAAGTAGTAGCAAATTTTTACAGGATCTAAGAATGCTAAATGGTTAATAGATTATCAACCATGAGATAGAAAAGGACAGAAGCATCACGTGATGTAGTCACGTGATGCCATTAACCTGACCTTGCCTCGCGCATTTGCAAATGGCTACCAATGCTTGTTTCAGTTGTCGCGTTTTAATACCTTTGGTGTAGTGTATTTCGCCGGTTTTGAAAATTGTCTGCATGTACTTCACTTTGTTGTTTCCAAACATAATATAGTGTTTTTTGGTCTTTATTTCGTTCCACGAAACATGGATCAAACCATACCACCCGAGATCTCGAAAATGGCAGAAGAAGCCTTGGCAGATATACTGCCTGAAAAATCGAAAAAAAATTATGAATTTGTGTACGCAAATTTCGTGGAATGGAAAGATTCCAACAATGTGAAAAAAACAAGTGAAACGGTGCTTATGTCTTACTTCAAAATGTTATCCCAGAAATATAAGCCGCCAACATTGTGGTCACATTACTCAATGTTAAAATCCATGATTCATGTAAAAGAAAAAATCAGTTTAGAAAAGTATCTGGAACTCTCAGCGTTTTTAAAAAAAATGTCACGTGGATATATTCCAAAAAAATCAAAAGTGTTTTCTGCCGAGGAAGTACAAAAATTTCTAGAAACTGCTCCCGACGATCACCACTTAGATACAAAGGTAAATATAAATTTTTTATAATTTTCTATTTTTTATTTAGTTACAACTATTTGCAATTTGTTTCGTTACAGATAATAAGCAATTTTATAATTACTTTTTTGTTAAAAATTGTTTGATTCCATAATTAATTGATAATAATAATAATAATAATAATAATAATAACAACAACAACAATAATAATAATAATAACAATAATAATAACAATAAAAATAATAATAATAATAACAATAACAATAATGAAAATAATAATATTTGCAATAATAATAATAATTAAAACTTCTTTATAGGTGATTATGATTTTCCGTGTTTTCGGGGCACTACGAAGCGATGAGTTGGTGAAAGTCAGAGTTGTCGATGTTAAACGTCAAGGAGAAATATTTCACGTTAATGTACCAGTCACAAAAACTATGATACCTCGGTCATTTGTCATTTCGGACGAATTTTGCAGATATGTCGAAAAATATTCAAACCTTCGACCAAAAACTGTTTCCAACGATCGTTTCTTTCTTAACTTTCAAAATGGAAAGTGTACAGTACAGGTAAAAATAATTATTTTAAAATTATAATAATCTGAATACTTATATTTTATTAATATTATAAATAATGTAAAATTTTATTATGGCAATTAAAATCAAAATTTTGATAAAAATGTTCTTCATACGATCATAATAATTAATTAATGTAATGTAAAATATACTTTTGTAAGAAATCAATTGAATGTATTAATATCAATATTTTTACTATTTATTTTATCGATATTTATTTATTTTTATCACTCTACAGGTAATTGGAAAAAATAAGTTCGCATCAACTCCGCAAAAAATTGCAGAATTTCTAAAGTTACCGGATTCTAAAAAATATACGGGGCACAGCTTTAGAAGAACATCTTCAACACTTTTGGTCGATGCAGGACCTGACTTGACGGTCTTAAAACGGCATGGCGGGTGGAAGAGCAGCGCGGTTGCTGAGGGTTACATAGAGGAGTCTATGCTCAATAATCAGGACGTAAGCTCTATGTATTCGAAAATCATTACCCTGCCTTCAAGTTCTAAGTGCTCGTCAAGCGATGATTCGCTGAAACATCGTACAACCAATCTAATAAATAATGAAACGCCAAAGCGACCTAAGACTGATACCGTAAATGATTCCCCAAATTTGGAATTATTGCTAAATAAGTTATCGACTGATAGAAATCTTAACTTTCAAAATTGCACAATCACAATTAATTTTCAGTAACTAAGTAGAACGCTGCCATATTTGTTTAAAGTTAAGACTGATTAGTCGTTTAAAGATTCTAGTTTTTCGATTTCATATTTTTAAGAATATTTCTTAAATATTTCTTAAATATTAATAAATAAAATATTAAAAAAAAAAATAAATAAAAATATATTAAATATTAAAAATAAAAAAAATATATATATAAAAAATATAAAATATAAAATATATATTAAAATATTATATTAAATATTAATATTTTCTTAAATATTTCTTTTATTTCTATTTATTTTTTCTTTCGCCTGTGAATTTTTCGATAAAAACGTTTTTTTTAAAACTTGTATGTAAAGGTCTTTGATCTTCGGTTAATGTTTGTTTACTTAATTATTCATAAAAAATAAACGGATAATTACAAAATATCCATAAAGGAACACTGATGTTTTTGAGATTACAAGTGAAGACTGCAATTTAGATTACTTTAGTTTTAATGAATCTAAAAAATGTTTCTTAACATGTTTTCAAAGATTTTAATGTTGATTTTTCTTTAATTATTTCTAAAAAGGATAGTAAGAATATATCCACTTTCTACGTTTGTAAAAAAAAGTTTATTAAAAAAATAAATGTGTTTTACTTGTGACATAAGACTAATTTATAACCTGACAAATTGTTCCCACCTTTTCCCTTTATAGTTCATATTTTAACATAATTTCAAAAATACTAAATTATCGCATTAAATATAATTTTGAAGATTTAAATTTTATATAAATATTGTTTAAATCATTTAATCTTTTGAGTTGGTTTTTTTTAGTCGGGGGGCTTCGCCCCCCAAACCCCCCCTTTTGTGACTACACTCGCATATATACTTGATAGTGGTTCAGTATGTACTACATTTTCCATATTCATTATTTGTGCCTTTGGAATAAAAAATATCGTAAGCGCTACGTGTTTAAAGCCATTTATTTGTGAGACTGATGTTTGAATCACTTGTTTTCGGCTCGGGCGCCCTCGCCTACAACTCGTGCTACAAACATCAGTCTCACAAATAAATGATTGGCTTTACACACTAGCTGCTTAATATACTATTTTACCTTGTAAAATTTAACAATTTTTTGTGACGTTTTAAAACTGACTCGAGGAAGCTACGTCGTCATCAAAACTCAAACTTATTTTGAAAATGCGTTTAACATTCTTTTTTTTAATACATAAATGTATCATAAAAGTTCCTGGTCAAATGTCCGGATGTATGTGTGTTTGTATGTAAGGATTTTTCTTTCATATGAACACGATAACTTTAATTTGTTTAAATAGATTCGGCTAAAATTTTGTAATCTTTTTTACTACATTAGTATCTTAAATCAGAAACAGGAAATTTTAAAAATACCCACAAAAAAATTCTATAGGCATTTTTCAAAAATTAATTTTTAACTGAAATTTTTTTATGTCAAATATTTTAATAAATATGTGATAAAATTATATTTCTTGCATCAAAACGAATCGATTGATATATACTGAACCATATAATTATAAAGCGCACATTTAATTGGAAATTTTTATTATTGATCTCAATTAAGCAAAATCAAAAATTCAAAAGTTAACATTTTTGTTAAAAACTTTTGTCTGTGCTTCAATTCAAAATAATATATAATAAAATTTAATTCTTTGCCTCAAAACAAATCGATTGGTACATATAAAGTACACATTTTACTAAAAATTAATAGAAATTAACGTAATTTTTAATTTTTCGAATAATCAAACAGTTTTTCTAAAGTTTTCTTTTTTTGAAATAAATATTTTACAATAAAAATAAATACAGTATAAAATATTACATAAACGAAACAATCTTATTGCTTCCTCCACAAGAAAGCAAATTTTGTGTTGTTTTAATACCGACTTTGAAAAACATAATTAAATTAAGAGTTTCTTGGTTATTGTAAAAATTGAACATCTACTTAAAGATAATTATTTTCTCAGGTATGTTATGTGAAAGATAAAATTTTTATAAAAAAATTTAAATTTTCTTAACAATTTGAAGATTAAGTATAATTTGTTGACATACTCTTGACTGTGAAATTCAAAATAAATGATCAGGAAAAGCCGAGAATTTACAATCATAAAAAAATTGCCACACAGAAAATCATTGTTAGTTAATTTATAATCGAATTACTCACATTTTTTATAGAATATATTGTAATAAGACTTTTCTACACCAAATTTAAACATAAATAAAAGACTATTTTTTGTAGCAGCAAATACAAGCTAATAAATAAGCAATCTAGCAAAATTAAAAAAAAAATTTTTAGATATAGAAAAATTAGATGTATAAAAACTTACGGTACAAAATATTGGATACTCTAGTGCCACCAATTTTGTTGGTCTCCTTCTGTTTATGCCAGGTATAATTTAATACAAGCTCGTCTGTCATTATCTGTCTGAGGGCCATGCTTAGAAATTCCTTTAAGCTAGAGCCGCCCATCTGGACTAAATGGTCATGCTAAAAATTTTATTACAAATTAATACATAAAAATTTTTACTTAAACTAATATTGTTTCATATGATGCGAATGTAAAAACTTAAAAATTCTGTACAAAAACTTACTAGTTTTTAACGTTCTACTTTATTTTTTTCATCATTTAAATGACGGAATTGCTCTGTTGAATTAATCGGAAAGCCGTCTAATTTTTGATACAGTTTATTCGTGAGTTGATCTGTATTAAAACGTGTCCTCAAAATTTGGAGAATTTCATTATTTTGATTAGAAATTTCTTCACATTTATTTATAAGTTTATAGTTTTGTGTTTCGACAACTCTGTTTAAAAAGAGTTTCCATAGTCGATCAAAAATATTAATAAGAAACAAATATTAATGATATTATCAGGGTGTCTACTAATTTCGTTCAACAAAATTCCCGGTCATATTTTAATTTTTCCCGGTTTATTTTTTCTTGTCAAATTTAAATTATTTTCTTGTAAGCATGAATAAAATCTACAAATATCTACGAAAATTGACTATATTTTATGAAAATAATTGTTTTTTTTAAGTTTATATGGGCATATCTCTAGAACTTTTAAACTTTGAGATATTAGAAAAATTAATTTTTTTTCAGGGCACATTCGTGAAACAAATTTTATTGTCTTCAGTATTGATCAAATACTATAAAAAAATTTGCGTAACTCATTTTTACACATTGTTAGGCATCACAGTGGGCCTTATTGCAAAAAATCTGCCCAAAATCTCTACATGTGTTTAAAACTGACTGGAATTTGTAACTCGCGGATTTTTTTGGTCGCTGATTACAAATGCGACGTTAGTTTTTCAAAATTCAAAATGGCGGATCCAATATGGCGGACGACTTTTAAAAAAATTGATCGAATTTGTCTGAAATTTGTTACTCGGGGGTTTTTTGGGTCGCTACCACCTTTAAAATGATTTAATGCTACAGTTTCAAAAATTTTATGGCCTATTGTTTATTAAGTCATAAGTAAATGTAGTTTATAACAATTTTTGAATTTTTTAAAATTATTTTTTTAAAAATTTTTTAAAAAATTTTGTTTGCAATTTTGGATCTACCATTTTGAATTTTGAAAAATTAAGTTCAGATTCGTAATCAGCGACCCCATAAACCCCCGAGTAACAAATTTTAGGCCAATGGGATCAATTTTGTAAAAAGTCATCCGCCATATTGAATCTGCCATTATGAATTTTGTAAAACTAAGTTCAGATTCGTAGTCAGCGACGCAAAAAACCCCCGAGTAACGAATTTCAGGCCAATTGGATCAATTTTTTTAAAAGTCATCCGCCATTTTGAATTTTGAAAAACAAAGTTCAGATTCATAATCAGCGACCTCAAAAACCCCGGAGTAACAAATTTGAGGCCAATGGGATCACTTTTTTAAAAAGTCGTCCGCCATATTGGATTCGCCATTTTGAATTTTGGAAAATTTAAAATTCAGATTAGTAGTCGCAGCGACCCCAAAAACCTTCGAGTGAGAAATATCAGCCAGATTTAAACACATCTATTAGTTAATACTTACTTTTCTTCACAAACTATGCGTCGGACAGTTTAGGTTTATATTCATTATTAATTATACAGTTTTAATGAAGTGTGCAAAGGTTAACTATTTTTCTGTATACTTTTATAATGCATGAGAAGAGATTACAATGAGTTGGGAGCATTTAGAAGCAAAATTCAACATGTGCTTTTCAAATATGTGGTATTTTGATTTGAGTTACGTTTTAAAATTTAATGTTTGAAGTCATTGCATTCTTTGTGTAAAGGAGGCACACATTCCTGTATGGGTTCAAATTACTTCTTATTAGGTAGATAATATAATCCCGTTGTGCCGTTACTCAAAAACCTTCGTTAAAAAAGTTATATCAGTTTAACTGCTAACTTGTAGAAATTTTGAAAAAGTTGTCTCGCAAGTTTGAAGCTACATAGTTTTTATTCAATTTGAGGCACATCATTGTTTCATGGATTTTTTAGTTCTTTACACTCCCACCTACTTCTATTGCAAGCCACAAGACACACAATGTTTCGTTAAAAAAGTTACAGTCTATAAACTAAAAAAAAACAGTCAATATCATACACTAGAAACTGTCGATTTCACCACTTTAACTTACGTTCGTCATTTCCTACATAATTAAAAAAATTATATAACGCATGATACATTTAAAAAGCCCTATAATTGGTCAAATTATGGTATTGAAAAATTATTTAAAAAATTCTTAAGGTATCATAATGAGCGATAACATAAAATTTAAAAGTTCTAGAGATATGCCCATATATTTCTTTTATTCTATTATATTATCATATTATTCGTTTATTGTATAGTCAATTCAGAAGTTTTTTTAATCGCAATTCAAAGTAAGCTAACGAATTTAAATAAAACTTGGTAGTATATGATACCAGGAGGCCAAAAAATAGCCATTTTTTAAGAATTTTTTTTCAAAGAAAGTTGTTAATTTATTAGTATGAAATTTCCTTGATAGGTTTATGTAAATTTTAAAGTATAAACAAAAATTCTAATTTTACAAAAATATCATTTTTCGTGACTGTTGCAACAATTTACCCATGGCTTCTCTAAAAAAAGGTGTTTTACCATGAGTAAAATATTTTCTAACTGGATCAACTGAAATACAAAACAGCAAAATATTTATTTAATATAAGATCAAATCTTGTTTTTGTTTTTTTTGTTGAAGGAATGAAAAAAATATTAGATTTACACAAAATAGCAGCTTTAAAAAAGGAATTAAAAATTTTTTTTAGATGCTATAATGTAATATTTTTTTCATTCCTTCAACAAAACAAGATTTGATCTTATATTAAATAAATATTTTTCTGTTTTGTATTTCAGATGATCCAGTTTAAAAATATCTTGCTGACCGTAAGAAAGTTTTTTAGGGAAGCCGTGGGAAAATCGTTGCAGCAGCCATGAAAATCGATATTTTTTGCAAAACTAAAAGTATTAGTTTTACTTCAAAAGTTAAATAATCCGATCCAAAAAATTCCATTTTAATAAATTAAAAAGTTTCTTTGAAAAATATTGTCAAAAAATGGCTTTTTTGCATCTTGACTAGGTAAAACCCTTTAATGTAGACATCGAAACGAAATGACCTAAAGTTTTTAAAATTGTTTCTCGTTATTTATTGAAGTAAAAAATAATTTTTTCAAGACAAATCAATATATTATTAAAATAATAAAATTTGATTTAAATGCAAGTAAGAAAAATTCCGGTTTGACGTAAAATTCCCGGCTAATTCCCAGTTTTTCCCGGTCAATTTAAATTCCCGGTTTTCCTGGTTAGTAGACACCCTTTATTATGTTTTGTAAACAATTATTCAATTTTATACTCACTGTAGCTTTCTCAAAATTTTTCCATATTTATCATTACTTTCACTAGTAATATTAATAACTGGTAAATCCAAAAAAGTTTCTGCTTTGTTGCTGTTGTTAAAAAGATTGGAATTGAACAATGGATCTATGAGTTGTGACTGATTCATTGATTTTTTGCCTGAACTAGTACCATCTTTTAGACCAACAGTAACCGTACAATTTTTTCCTTTATATCTTTAAAAATTTAATTTATTTTTATACTAAAACTGAAAAGTTTTGTTTAGTATTAAAATTAAAGTAGAAAAAAATTCATTTACAAATTAGTTATCTTCGGAGTAGCTACGTGTGGGAACTCTTCAGAGGCATACAAATGTGAATTATTTGCTAAACTGGATTGGCTGCTAGAGCAAGGATCAATCGCAAATTCAATTTCTTGAGAGCTTAAAAAAAAGAATTTCATTTTAATATTAAGTGTAAAAACAAAAAAAATATATTTCAGGATAACATTTCATAAGTGATGGGAAGTTTTAAGTAAAATGGCGGAGTGGCCGGCCGCAAGCGGCCGGCTACTTTGCTTCTGTTTTTTCCATTGAAATTATCATTTTTCATTTCTTATTTAAGATAACAAATTTTATTTTTTTCCTTTTAATTTTACGTTTATTAATGCTACCTTCTGATCATTTTATTAATAATACTGCAAATTAGAACGCACACTTTAATGTTTAATGAAAGAATCACCTTATTTATCTTTTTTATATTGGAATTTTAGTTCATATAAATCATGACATGATTTTGAAAAAATTAAGGAAAATTAGTTATCTTAGCCTAATTTTTCTCCTGATTAGGAGTAAAAATTGAACCTAAATATTGTCGAATGATTCTTTTCTAGCAAGATGTTTTTCATCTGATACTGAATTTTTGGAAAAAACGTTAAATTTCAACGATTTTCGCAAATTTTGATATTGTTTCGCAAAATAAACTTCTGATCAACATTTTTTCTAAATGAGAGATTCGGCTGTAGAAGTTTTCTGTAGTTTAGTTTAGTTTGTTTTGCAATTACTTAAATTTGAAGTTTCGCACGCTCTTTCGCGTTAACTAATCAGAGAACGTTTCTCATTCAAGTTATTCGATACTTTCGAGTTATTGGGTTAATCTCGCACTCTTTTTTTAAGAAAGGAAAAATTACACTTATTTTTTTTTTAATGGGTTGATGATAAATAGAGCGTAGGGTTAGTTAGTTTAGTTATCTGACTTGATTGGTGTGATGAACTTTGAGAGACCTGTACCTGTGAAAAATTGTCAAAACTGGTTCCAGGTTTTGAGTTAGGATCACTGAAAAATTTATTTCCTTGTGACCTAAAAGAAATATTAAAGTTTGATATAATTTTTTTTGATAAAAAATTATGTGAGGATAATTATTTAGGCAAATAAAATGACGAATAAAATATTCACTGTTATTTATCTGTATCTATTTTATAGGCTAATGGCAATTGGAGCAACACAGTTACGCAAAAATATGAAAAGATAATTTAGAAAGTTTGAAATTAAGATGTTTATATGTCACATTCTTTTACAAGTAGACAGTAAATAAGGTAACGTACGAAATAAACGTAATAATAAATAATTTTGAAGTGATAATTTAGAAATCCAATAAATTATTATGAATAATTATAATTAATTAATTAATTATAATAATTATTTAGTGTGAATAAAAGATTGTTATTCAATAATATTATTTGACAGTCATAAAATGACTGCTTTTTTAATTTTAGATTAATGGCGCAATTATATATGAAAAATAACAATGAAATACTAAGATTTCGTAAGGGTGACTATTTTATCTTCACAAAACATGTTATTTTGTTTCTATACATAATAAAATAAATTAAAATTTACTCACAAAGTTGTTGCATTTCTTAACTCCAATTTTTGTGCTAATACTTTTAATTTATTAATTTTTTCATTTAATGATGATGGTTTCGTCTTCTTCGGAGGTGGCTCATCGTCGGAAGTGGATAAAATATTCTTCGCAGTTTTAATGCGTCTTCCGTACTTGATACTCTGACTTCAGTTTTAGAAAACATTTTGGGCTTTTCTGTTTTGCTGGTACTTGCCATGGTCTACATAATGATTAAAAGCGAATTAAAATTCCTTCTACTTTAAATATTATTAAAACAACCAAGCCAATCATACACCATTTCATGTAATATATACAAGGAAAATAGATATAAGATCTAATAGTAAATAGCTCCTTACATGCGAAAATAAGTTTTCTATAAAACTTTTGGTAAACTTTACAACAAATTCTGTTTCAGGTTATTTTATTAGCACTTACAATATTAATGATTATATTAAATAGTATGACATAAAAAAACATTAAAATATAAAATTTATGGAAATTAAAATTTTTTTTTCTTTATTTTTTAAAAGCTGAAAAAATTGAGAGAAGAATGAAACCCAGGAAAAGTTATTTTTTGAATATATTATTTAAATACTTATAAAAAAGACTTATTTTCAATGTGTCATTAAAATTTGAATAATTTTTAAAATAACGATATATAACATAAAATTTTACCAAAAAATTTGGAAAAATTTGAACTTATTTTTTTAATAGAAGAATATTTTTGAAAACTCAAATTTATTTTATTCAATTTTTTAAAAAAGTCTAAATATTATTAAGTTTTTAATTTTTCAGAAGACAGTGTTTCAAGTAAGAAAATAAATTCAAATTTTTTGAGATGTGTTTTTTGGTAATTTCAATGACATTTTCAGGTTTTTTAGACCTTTTTTGAAAATCCATGACATTTTCAGGTATTCCAGGTTTTTTAGTTTCTGTAGAAACCCTGAAATCCTTAATGTAAGACACACGTGCAGAAAATGTTTTTGATAAAAATCTATCCTATCTAAAAAAGAACATGAGCGAAAATCTCGAATTTAAAATAATCGATTATTGAAAAATCTCGAATTAACATATAGCATTAAGCATGTTGAATTGACATAGAAAGACATCCTCGCATATGAAAATATGAACTAAGAAAGATAAAGCTGTAGTCAATTTTAGTTACTGACGCGCATTTTTGATTTAATTTCATTAATTAAAGTTGATTTATTACTAAATTACTCAAAACAAATAATAATTTTTACATTTAAAAAATTTTTATTTAGACCCTGGCGGATTTGATTTACCTAAATTCGACCCAGCTGGGGCGAATCTAAGTCGAATTTAGGTAATTAAAAAAAAAAACTTTAAATTGATGAAAATTTATAAAAATTAGTATTGTGAGGTTAAATGAACATTTATAAAGTTAATTTTTGTAAGAATTTTAATTATTAACGTGATAAATAATAAATAATCACTTGATATGTGCAAGTGGTAACTGTATATTTTAACTCCTTGTCAGTTTTCATAATATTTTCAAGAAATTAGTGTAAAATGTGTGAAAAAATAATTTATATTTAATAGAAATTGCAAATTTTATTAAATTATTTTATTATTTATCGAGCGCAGTTTAAAATAATTGCAATTTAATTTTTAAAAAAAAAGTTTTCTTAAAACTGATAAGAACTCTACTGTACCGACAGCAAGAGGATATTTTCAGATAAGTAAAGTTATTGTAGCGTGTAGTTTTGTTGTGACTAAAAGATGTCGCTTTAGTTTCTATAGTGATCAGACAGGAACATCGAATCTCATGATCAAATATTCATGAATATTCATCTCTGTTCTATCTTATATCTGATCACTATAGAAACTAAAGCGACATCTTTTAGTCACAACAAAACTACACGCTACAATAACTTTACTTATCTGAAAATATCCTCTTGCTGTCGGTACAGTAGAGTTCTTATCAGTTTTAAGAAAACTTTTTTTTTAAAATTAAATTGCAATTATTTTAAACTGTGCTCGATAAATAATAAAATAATTTAATAAAATTTGCAATTTTTATTAAATATAAATTATTTTTTCACACATTTTACACTAATTTCTTGAAAATATTATGAAAACTGACAACGAGTTAAAATTCTACAGTTACCACTTGCACATATCAAGTGATTATTTATTATTTATCACGTTAATAATTAAAATTCTTACAAAAATTAACTTTATAAATGTTCATTTAACCTCACAATACTAATTTTTATAAATTTTCATCAATTTAAAGCTTTTTTTTGATAATTACCTAAATTCGACTTAGATTCGCCCCAGCTGGGTCGAATTTAGGTGAATCAAATCCGCCAGGGGAGCCAATCTAAAAAAAGCATGAGCGAAAATCTCGAATTGAATAAAGTCGACTTGAAAAAACCTCGAATCTCAAAATATATGGAGTTAATATTAAAAAGCAGAGAAATTTTAATTTTGACATTTGAAAATAAGTGTCAAAAAAGAAGAAGAAGAAATAAGTGTCGACTACGCTAGTTGGAACCAAAAAGTGCATTTATTACAGGTGTGCAAGAAGCCCGAAACTCGAAACTTGACCCGATAAATTCGGGCTTTTCTATTTTCGGGTCGAGCTTCTTCAAAAACCTGAATATATTTGGGTACTTAAACACATTCGGTTTCATAAAATTTTCGGGTACCTGAATAGTTTCAGGTATTTGAAATTTATTACTTTTTAAAACTTAATTGCCTTTAATTATTAAAAAATATATGAGACTTTTAGTACTAAAATGCTACACGAGTTGTGTTTGAACTTTTTCAATACATCCAATCCTGAAAATTTTTGAAAAAAGCATAATTTTTTAGAAGCTAAGTGCTTTCAATAATTCGAATGAATTTTGGTTACCTACCTGAAAACAAGAATGAATTCTAAATACTTCCAGGTGCCCGATTTTTTCCGGTAGCCGGACACTTTTGAATAGCTTCAGCTCGATTTGACCCGAAAAATATTCAGCCTAACCCGATCCGAGTTTTTGGGCTTCTAATGCACACCTCTATCACCTATGCAAGCTGCTTAAGTATCAATTTATTCCAAATATAAACTTACATCTAACTTCATCAAGTAACCATTTTGGAAAAAAAATTTAATTTTGAGGTATTGCATCTCGGTTGAGCAATGTACAGCAAATCCATTGATTTTCTAACGGCCGCTCTTCTTGTCCTTCAACGTGATTCCAACATGGCATTCTGTAGCACTTATCTTTAATCTCATTTAACGGTATAGCTTCAATTACATTTGACAAATCCGAGCAACTATATACACCAACAACATCTGATGTGACTCCAATGTGGTAAAGTGGTTCTTTCCTTTGAAAAGATTCAAAAATGAAGAAAATTTCTTCTTCTACTTTTAGAATGTTCCTTATGATCCCTATTCTTGTATCTTGAAGACTGCAACAGCTGTCACGCAAATTCGTGGCAAATGTGACTTCCCTAATCTCCAACTTTTGAAATTGACGACATATGTTGGCAGGAATATTCTCAGGAACCGGGCCTTCTGCATGAGGTAATGTTGCACGTATTGGGTTATTTTGAACTGGAGGCGTGAGAGTTAAGTCGTTTAATTCTTTTGTCCTTTTGTAATACTGTTGTAAAACAAGATGTGGTTTGCGAATCATTTTACGAAATTCTGGCATATTGTTTTTGTAATCAAAAGCACTGAACGACTCTAAGTCTCCGAGAATTTCCGAAAAGCACTCCTTTTGTTGGGTCGTCGGTTGAAGTCGGATGGACAGTACAACGAAAGCTGTTCCATTCGGGAGTCAAGAATTTCCAACTTTCTGCCAGACATTCTTCGGACATTAAACTTTCCAATGATGTTTGCCGATATTTCCTTTTTTACATTTCCAAGCCATAAAAGATGCATTGCTTCAAATGGCACTTGTGTCACTAAATCCAGTACCTCGGCCAGAGGTGTTGCCCCTAGATGATGGTCTTCGTCTATCATGTTGCGATAATTTTCGTTGGTTCGCAATTGATGCTTAATTCCTTCAAAAATCTCTCGATCCATGTAACGGTAACCTTCGACTATGCATTTGGAGCATGGCTTACTTGAATTATGCCCAGCATGATTTAAACAAAGCGCCCTTGCTGATGCATCTGCGATGAAGCAACGAATCCTTAAAAAAATTCTTCTACCATGAATGACAATACCAATGTCACGTACACTAATGATTTCTCGGATAAATTGTTCAAAAATATTCAGTGGCTTACTGTCCCCAAGAAAGATTCCTGCTATTAAAGGTCTTTTATCCCCGATATTTAAAATTCTATATTGTATTGGCCAAAATTGTTTTAATCCTTTGTTAAGTTTAGCTCCGTCAGTACTAAAATCTATTTCAATTCTGTCAGGTAACAAATCTACAGGAATCTGATAAAGTTTCTTTTTTAGGGTTAATTTTAAGCCAACGTGTAAATATTCGCCTCCTGCTATAGGTCGAATTACTCCATTGGCAATTGTAGTAGGAGTGCGTAAAATTGTTCTCGCATCTTGAGGAAGAAAGTGAAATTGAAATGGGTATACTCTCAACGTCTGGAGCAGTTGATTGATTTGGGTATGCTTTAAATTGGTTTGTAAAAAAGCATTCTTAAGAGACCTTTTCATTTCATCATTTATATCCAAAGGAGGTGGTGGTTGTAGCGGTGGTTGATACGCGATTTCATTTTATTCCACCTGTTCTATAGGTTCCTGCAAAAATTGTTCTTCTTCGTCTTCTTCTTCTTCATCATCTTCTTCTTGTTCTTCTTCTTGATCTTCTTCCTCTACGGTTTCATCACTACTACTATTTATTATTTAAGTATAACATAAAATGTTTCATCAAAAATTTTAAATTGAATTATTTCGTTATTTAAAAGAAAATGATTTTTTAAAATTGTTTATGATTTTAGTTAAAATTTTACAATTTAACTGATTTAAAATTTAACAGTCTATTCCAATAGTAATTAAAAAATAAAAATGGTTTGCCACTATTAATACACTAAATCCTTAATTCAATAAAAATTACACATGTTAGTGAAACGTCAGCAAATAATTTTAAATGAAAAAAATGAAATAAAGAAATGCTATCAGGGGTTAAAGTTTTGACTTTTTGAGTGACATTATATACAAAATTAAGTATTATTCTATGTTTTTAATCCATTTGGGAACATTTTTTCTTGTTTTTATTTTTTTATTAGAAAGCTGGAATTTTTTCACAAAAAAACTATGTATAGCAAAAAATGGTATTTAAGGTAACTGCACCAGTGATCGAGGTTGCACTAATTTTCGAGGATATTAATTTTCATTTTCAGATAAATAGTATAATATAAAATATTTTTAATTGAAACTAATTTCTAAATATTCTTTATATTTTCAAGTGCATACTAACATGATGAAATATCATATCAACGGTACTAAAATAATTATATAATTAAAATTATAATTTACAGCTGTCAAATTTGACATTTTCTTAATACTTCAAATTGAATAGGACTGAATTTTCTAAATACAAATTAAACGTATTTATAATTACTTTTTGTGTACAAAATTATTACCATAATATTGTAGAAGCACTACTTTAAGTTTATATGCAAATATATTTTATAAATAAATAACACAGCCCCACAAAAAAAGTGTCGTGCGCGGCAGACCAGACTAGTCATTTCCTATGTATTTTGACGCGCTGAACACGAATCCGAAGTCCGTTTTGCTCCATCACGTCAGGATTTTTTTCTAACCTCCAAAAACCTGTCGGATTTTGAGAGGTAGGCTATTTTTTTAAAAAATTGATGGATTTACTTCAAACTTGGTATATAGGGGTTTTTTGGGTCGCTGATGACGAATTTGAAGTTAGATTTTCAAAATTCAAAATGGCGGCTCCAATATGACGGACGAATTTTGTAAAAATTGATGGATTTACTTCAAACTTGGTATCTAGGGGTTTTTTGGGTCGCTGATGACGAATTTGAAGTTAGATTTTCAAAATTCTCGATTTTAATGAGTAGACAATATAATCTAAGGGTTGGACAAACGCATTCAGTGCTTGGACAAACAAACAAAGTAGATGAAAGATAAAAAAATAAATTTGATTAAAAATTAAACAGTAATGAATGTTCATTTTTCCTCCATTATCACAAGTTTTCCAATTTTCTCGAGTTTAAAGGATAGACAAATTAATTTAAGGGTTGTAACGAATTTCGGAAGACTTTAGATATTTTAAATTAAATAGAAAGTGGAGGTTCGGCTCGCGATAGCCGAAAGAAATAAATTGAGCGAAATCAAAAACTTAAAAAAGGCGATTCGACTTACGACGCAGTTAAATGAGCAGCTGCGTGCAATTGATCCGAGACGAGTCCATCCAGATGACAAATAAAAATCGATTGATCGAACTTACCAGTTCGCAGATCGTTGAATCGCTGTGGCGCACATCGGAGTTCCTGAAGGATAATCCTAGGGATGTGTGAACACAAAATAAACAAAATATTATATTGAACAAACAAAACATTTAATAAAATGAAATGCGAGTATACAACAATTTACAAAGATGCGACGCAGCGCATCGATTACGCGCGGAAAATCGCGACGGAAGGTGCTTCTACGGTAAGAAGTCTCGCTTCTCTCTAATGAGAGGATCGACCGCGATCGTCATCGTGACCCATGACATCCTTCGTATATGGCACGATGACACCTGAATATATGATTCGGTTAACCACCAATAGTGTCGTAGACTTGAGGCTTACGGCTGGCGCGAGAAATTAGGAAGTAGGGAAACAGCCGGGAACTGCATATTTATCCGAGGAGATAGAAAACGATATGGATCGTTACAATTCTCCCCTTCTAAATTGCAGTTACCGGTGGTTTGTCCAAGCTCGATCAATTGTTTCCTTTATAGATAGAAATCTAACCTGGTATTTACTCGTCTCAATAGTAAAAGCATTTTGCTAAATAGAATACAAAAGGAAAATTATTAATAAAATAAAGTTTTTTTTAATCATTAGATCATATCATGAAATTAAATTAAAGTTTAATTGTTTTGATAATTGGTTCGCAACTGCTCAAAGAATTAATTCTAGTTATTATTCTCTAAGTAGTGTCGTATACAATATGTGCTTATTCGAACGAGGTAGTGACTTGCTACAAATAATATTGCGCTTGAAAGAAACGTTGGAAAATGTTGTCGAAATAAAAATGTCTTTGTTAGAATTTTAACCAAAAGAAAATATCGTAATAGCGCGAATTTAACGAAGCACGTGAAAACAAATCTATTGTCTAGGAAACGATGATTCATTATCTGGAGTGGCTTCTTGCGAATTGTTGGTTTAATTTTTCCATGTTGGTGGGAAAACGAATAGTTTCTTATCAACCATGTCATGAGCGTTAACCCAGTCTCTGAAGATGGCCAGCTGTCATCCTTGATCGTTGTGGATTGCACAGAGTTCGGAATATTTCTGCGTACTCGGAAGATAGACATCCTCGAACGTTGGAGACGACGGCGAGGTATATGTCAGATTATGACTGAGGGAAGCGTAAACGTCCAGAGAATAGGCATGCTCGTGTTTGTGATACGCCAAGCCATATGGACCATCGATAGTGATGCTGCGGATGAAACATCATTTTGCCTTCGAATCGAAAATTATGCGAATGTAATTACGAGCACAGTAAATCGTTCTCATCTTTATGTGCAGAACGCAGGTAGCACGCGTTGACACATCAAATTCGTGCATATTGTGATAGCACTAGTATGAATCGTGGTGTAGATAATTGAAACAAGAAGTCGTTTTCCTTATATCGATACCAATGGATTCGCTGGAGCCTTGAATGTCTGGTCGGGCATCTTCAGCATATCATGGTGTTGTGAACCGTAAATAAGGAATGAATAGTGTTGTAGATCCTTGCATTCAGGTGATGAAGAAACGCACATGACCTTGGTTTCCAAGAAACTAACCTCGAGATAGCGCGGTTGATGGGAATCATTCTTCCTTCAGGTGTTCTCAAAACCAATTCAAGGTAAGCGGCTAGTTTACTGGTAGCAACTTTGACGATCATTGCGTTGGTGCGTGTAACGCGAACGCGGATGGTGGAGAAGCTATTTCATGTTACGCTACTTTCGGTAGTTAATCTACTGATTTTTTTTATATCGAAAACTTGACGACACTATTTAATCATTATTAAATTTTATTATTCGTCGTACAAAAATACTTTTTTTTTAATAATAAACGCTAATTTATAAGAAGCACGATGAGAGTATCGTTTAATGCGCGTTGATCAATTAACAATTCATTGGAGATAAAGATCACGAATGACGCTTCAATGCGTCTTATCTAAGTGATAAGCATCATCTCTTTTTTTCATGCAAATAGTCATTTTGACTTTCAATTTTCATAAAAATAATGCGCGCTTGGCTTAGCTGCACATCAGCTATAAAATAACACAGGCACACAAAAAAAAAGTTGTCTGTTTCTTGAACTAGACATATATTTCCTATAGTATTTTGGCCCGCTAAAATCGAATCTGAGCCCAGAATTGCTCCATCACCCTCAGTTTTTCTTTAAATCGACCAAAACCACCCTTAAACGGACAAATTCACACTTCGGAGATAAAAAATAAATCAACTTATTTTTTTAAAAAACCGAATTTTACATCTACGAAACTTTGCTCCACTAACTCAAAAACAAAGCCAGCATTGATCCAGCACCCCCTGAATTTTTTTAAATCGAAAAAACTACCCCTAATCTGAAGAATCAAATTCAGGAGGTAAAACAATAAAATAACTGATTTAAAAATTTTATAACCAGGTATTTTTACTCC